TCATGAAACAAGAAGTTACCAAATCAAATACAAGAAGAATTCAGCTCTTCCATCACAGAAGGCCTTATTTAGAACTGGTGGGGGAGGGGGTCTCTCTGACACTTTATATGCTAATATACTTTAGGCTGCTCACTATCTTCCCCTTTTGCTTTTTGCCTCCCAGACACCCAAATCCATGGGAATAGTGGGGAATAGAATACGGAGGGTTCTTCACTGCTTCAGTCCCGGATTCTGGAGGTCAACCCTCTCTTCTGAAGCACAGTGCAGATAGGCCCTGGGTAACAGGAAGGATCAGACAATACTTCCTTTAATGATCCTTACAAATCACAAAAACTAACCCCACAGTGGTAAAAATTAAGGGTCTTTCCCCACTCTGTAAACATGGGTTTACTTCTCCTGTATATCTGTCCCATGTTGTTTTCATGGGTTCTCTGACAGACATTCTCACTTTATACATCAATTTATTTTTCAGAACACCACAGTAGAATTCTATGGAATACCCTAGTGGCAGGAACCAAGCTATCTACTTGTTATCCAAAGCCACTTCCACATACACTAGAGGAATCTGCTTCCTAGGGTTGCTGCTGAACTGTGGATTTAGAAAAAGCTGTCCCACATTCTTTTGCCTCTTGTGTCGTAACTGAAAATGGGCCACTTACAAGACTAATAAAGCCTTTTCCTCTGCCTAGAGAATCTTCCTTCCCTTGAGGATCTTCTAAGGCACAGTGCTTGGGCTGACAATGAGCTATATGCAGTAATCTCATTTCACAGGAAAGGAAGATGGGTACCATTTTCTGACCTCTTCAAGAGTAACTCACCTTTGAAGGAAATACTGATGACACAGGTAATAGAGCCTCTCTCCGGAGCACAAACATAAAGCCACACTGCTGCTCACCATAATATTAGTATGTGGTTGTAAGAATTTCAAAGGTATAATCACAAAAGTGGGAAGCCATTTTAATAGTACATGTATTTTCTTAAAGGCGTGAGGCATCCCCAGCTCTTTCATGCAATACCCTATGATGTGACCTACAAATACAGTATCCTGGAGAGTGCTATCTACATATATCCTCCAGCAAAGGATTGTTGCAATGCAGCATCTGCTTAAAAATATTATGTCCTCTAAAGTGATGATCCATCATCATCTCTGCTTTGGGGCTAGTCAGAGTCTGCTTATTTCTGTAAAAGATGCATTTTTTGGAACTCTCTGGGGACTGGAGAAGTCTTTCAGTCCAGCCTTAGCTACAACATCATCATCAGCTTTGCCCTGGCCACGCATAGTCATATCCTTTGATGGTTTGCCAATCAAGGGAATGAGGGTCCCAAAGGTGTTTCTCATTTTTTGTCACAAAATAATTCAGGGCAATGAGCACCTGTCTTGCAGGATAAGATGACACATCAGCTTTAAACTGTTGGAAGATTCCTGTTGCTTCCAGTTTGTCTATTTTATTCCATAATTAGATGGAGGCCCTAATAAAGTAGGTTGGGGCAGACAGACAGATCTCTACTTCATCCCCATCCTTTTAGACAACACTGCTGCTTTTTCACATTGTTGACTACACTTTTCATGACATCTTCACCACTCTGAGTTCCCATGCTAACCTCTATTGATTCAGCTTCAACTCTATCTTTCCACCATTTCTATCTTGTCGCCATATAGTCCTGTATCTGGGATAACTCTTCCTGGATATCTCACCATGAATTTCAACTTAATGTGGCCAAAAATAAACTCCTTATCTCTTCTAAACCCTCTCCACTAACCCCTTCCTCTTATAAGGTCAACATTCTCCTTCTTACTCAAGCCCACAATCTGGGGGACATCTTTGACTCATCCTTCTCCTTGCCTCATACATCCAAGCTGTCACCAAGTCCTGCTGCTGCTTCTTACTCAACAACTTGAAGAACTGACCTATTCTATCTATCCCCACAAGAAAACCTCTCATTCACACTGACAACAAACCTATAAGAAGCAATTTGGAAATACTTATCCTATTTAATACCTATGTATTTCCATTAACATAACTGCATATATGTTTTGCTGCTACTCCCTACCCCGCATCTTTTTGTCTGTCTTTAGGTTGTGAGATCATTAGGGAAAGGGATTGTACCTTTTACTTTGTTTGGAAAATGCCTAGCACATGACAGGTGCTATTGGAAATAAATAAAGATTACATTTTACCTTAAGAAGGTTAAAGAGGTCAGTCAATTTCGTTAGTTTGGGGTCCCTACAGTGACAGATGATAGAAAATCTTCCCTGATCAATCCAATTGCAATACAGTAATTACTGTAACAGAGCTGAGATCCCAGCATGCAGCCTGCTAATTGTCTTCAGGGAATGCCAACATATACACCCTTATGTGGTGAGCCAGCTCTGCTCTCTCGTGTGGAGACATATAGGGTTGTAGTTCCAGTTCTCTCTGTCCCCTCTGCAATGGGTAGTGCCCCAGAAGGCAGTAGCAAGAGGCAGTCTGTGCTCTCAGCAGAGTGCAGACACTCAGACAATGTTTGGTCCATGAACAGAGGGGAGGTATCTCAAGTCATCCCGCTTCCTTTTGCACCTGTGCTGGCCCAATGCACAATGTCTTCCAATATATGATGTTCTTAATAAAAGAGGTAAGCGTGAGTTATAAATATTTCTGTCTTATCTTAGAGTCCCTCTAACTTTTTTCTGAAACATACTGGGTCCTAACAAGCACACGTTAGTCAAAACTCCCACTGAAATCAGTAGGAATTTTACCCAAGAGGACAAAATTCGACCCAGTATGAAACTGAACGATGAAAGCAAAAACACAGTAAGTGACTCGGAGGACAATGGTTTGCTTTGTATGAAACCGATGAATTACAAAAACTGGGCTGATGGTTTTTTACATGAAGAACAATCTTCTTGACTTGCAATCCAACAAATTTAAAAACATCAGAGAATCAACTGTGAAATGGTATCCTGCTTCAGACTCTTCACTCCAGTCTCTCTCTCCCCACAGGTTAGTTAAATCACACATTTTGGGAATTGCAAAAGAGAAATTCCTAATATGTCAATGCATTCTCATCATTTCATAGGGCTGCACAAATATTTCTATAGTTAAATACATGAGTACAGAGAAAAATGTACAGGCCAGGTTGTGAATGCCTTACTCCCAAAAGTGAGCATTTGAGAGTACATGCATACCAATGTAAGTAAAAGGTTCACAAACTAGTCCAAAATGTATAGAATACTCTAAAATATTGAATGAGACAAATGTATATGTGCATTCCAAAATATAAAAGTGTTGTATGCAGCGTGAGGCACTGTTAGAAGGTATCACGCTTACACAGATTACCATGAAATGTACACACTGTCAAAGTCTGGAGATCACTCAAGAGACAGATTTTACCTGACTGACAAATACAAGCTGATACTTTCTAAAGGGTAATTTCCTTTAATTAGCTGTTTTCATGTAAGCAGTGTCTTTCTTTGGGTGGGTATGGCAATTTGTGCTGAGCTTTTCACTAAGTGGATTTGAAACACAAAACTAAAACCTGTTTTGGCTTTATGATTTGCTTTCCCTTTTTTTTTTAAACTATGCAAGAATTTATTCATACATTTTTGACAGTAAGAATTCTAGGATGCAAACAGAAACACAACAATACACTAGTTGATTATCTTCAAGAAGAGATTACTTTGAGTCTGACAAAATTTTGGTCAATCTAAAACATTCACTATAGAAAAAATATTGTGGCAGAGAATCGGTCACCTGCTTTTTTAAGTATGACGAAAAGTAAAGGCAAAAAGAGAGAGAAAAAAAGAGGGATGGCAGATACACTGAGAATCTGCAGTATAGATAATCATACCCTTTATTGGCTAAGTTACATTAGACTGCAACACTGTAAAAACCTGTTAAGGAGAGGAAACAGTAGATTGGTAGAGGTAGTAGAAAGTCTGTAACAGTCAGAAGATGGCTTACAGGAGTGTGTCATGCTAAAAAATCATCATGCTGTTTAAAAAAGCTGATCAAAACCAATTAACTGAATAAATAAAGAACACAAATCATTTTAAATACTATGGTCTAACTGAATTAAAAAATCAATACAATACAATGATAAAGAAGGAACAAGAAAGACTATGATTCACATCTGAAAGTGGCTGGTCTTTGAGGTTGGCTTTCCCTCACCAACTCCTCCCATTTCCTGTTTAATTATGTGAAAATCTCATTTCTGTGCTATACACAGCATATAATTATTTAAACTGATTTCCCTTACTGTTGTTCTTCATGTAGCTAAATTATGATTGTAACTTTGCTGATTAGTACCCCGGTAATGGCAGTGACAGCACTATCCTCGCCTCTGTCAGGTATTCTGGAAAAAAGGTTCCAGAAAGCAACATTTGCTCTAAATATTAACTATGATTTTCCGTATCAGCTTGCAAAACAGGAAAAAAAATAAAAAAAAAAATTACAAATGTACACTACACTTTTGTGCCATTTTGGGTACAGAAGAGATTTTAATAACTAAAACACAAACAAATAAGAAAAGCAACTAGCTTTCGTGCATTCCTGAACTGTCATCATTACTTTTATCCAAGAAAAAAATGACTCAGAAAGCAACCAAAAAAGCTAGTGCAAACCCCAAAATGATGATCAATCATTAATCCACACAGCAATTTTGTGTGTATGTGTCTGTGTGCGTGTACACAGTGGAATGTGTCTGGCGACTTCCCTCAAAATAACTTTACAAAACAGTCAACGACAGTCACTTATAAGTATTTGCACAGACATTCCTAACTACACCAGGACTACAGAGAATTCTGGTATACATCTGGTGTAAAAGTATGAGGAAAAATTAGTAAAAAAAATTACATAAGAAAGTTATATTTGCATTTTTGCAAGTGTTGCAAAGTAACAAGAACTGTCAAGTAATTCACAACAAGTAACAAGTAATAGCCAGAACCAATTATTGACTAGGTTTAAAAACAAACAAACCAAAAAAAAAAAAAACCCTACAAAAAAAAACCAAGCAAACAAACAAAAAAAATTGTTAGAACAGAAAAATCAAGCTTTATGTTTTTTGTTTTTTTTTTTAAACAAATCTTTGTGTCAGAAGCCCATTTACTACAAAAACAGCACTATTCCATTATTGTATTAAGTAAACTGTTGCTCTCGCCGGTATTAAAGGTTAGCATCATTTCTGTACATGTAAAATTATTGCTTTTTTTGAAAAATATAATTAGCATGCGAGTTTTTTAAATCCATTTCCTGCCTTTACAAAATGTTACAATTAAAAAAAACCACCTAGTAAAGCTTTTGCAAAAAATTTCACAGAACATTTTCTTTCAAGGCAGCAGTAACTTTTGATAATGCATAAAATTATATGTGCAAAATCTGAAACTCTCAGAAATATTACCATCACACATAGTGTCACAGCAATGAGAAAAGAAAATATTTATATCTGTGGAATACATTTTTTTAATTGCTTACACTGCATGGTTTACCAACCTATGTGCCACAACCTCCACCTTGAAAACTTGCATTTAAAAGAGTTACTGTAGAAGAGGTATATAAAGCTCTTTTTTTTCCTCCTAACACCACCAGTGATCACCAAGTACAAGACATGACACATTATATGAACATTAACCTGCCACCACAAAAGAAGTTACTCATCTTTTCAAAATGTCACCAAGCCCAGAAAGGAAGGGTAACAGGCTTGCTGAACAAAAATACAGGAGCGTACAGTACCCTAAGGGCCTAGGTCAGCCTGAACTTGTTCAGCGACTCCTTTTCTATTAAAAACGTACAGATCAGCGGCTTTAAACAGCTGAATAATTTTTTTTAAACGTGCAGACTTCCTTTGTGATCAGGTCAAAGAAAGTAGCCCTGTTACAAAAAAGGTCCTGAGAGTAAAACACCAAAGCCTATTTTTCTTAGTGTTCAACCAGCTTTTTCTTTTCCAAAGCAGAATATAAGCATTTCTGTGGAAGTGTTTCAATTTCCATATTCACATACTATTAATGGTGCGCAGTCAAGAACAAGAGACTTAGAAATGCAAGTGGTCCCCAAACTGTAATGAAACAAACCATTGTAGAATGATGGTCTTCTCTTTAGTCCTTCATCAAGCACTGCTCTCCAAAGCACCAAATGCCACCTCTTTCCCCCTCCCCGTCCTCCTTTTTAAAAGTTTATTTTTCCTCATGACAAGCAGTGGCAGCTTCATTAATTAATACTTGTTCGGCCCCCAAATCCACTGCTGTTTTTCAAATGTATCAAATAGTCATTCTGAGCATCAGGGAGGTTTTTGTTACAGTACTTAAATTCTTCACGCTGTCCAAATCACATATAGTTTAATTATTCCAGTGTCTCAAACTTATCTTGATTAATATAGATGCCTTGCACTGCCACAGTGCTTGCCAACTCCACTGTTTATTATAAAGGAAATAAGGAACCATGGGACTGATTAGTACGTCAATTTATATATATCTTGTGTAGCATCTTCATTTATTTTAAAATGATTAACAGTGCAGAGGCATCTCCATTCTAGCAGAGCACTGTTTTTACTCTAGCACAGTGACTCCAGAGATTTGATGGCTTGTAGGGAAGTTTTCCAGCTGTTCTTCTATAGGGTTGTTGGGATCATCACTTTGTGGTTGTTGGAATCGCCGATCAGGGTACTGGCTGTTGTCAAAGGGTACCCGGTGCACACACGGTACATGTGTTTTTAGGTTCCCTTTCTGAGAGGCACCGTATGGACAATATCTGCATTGGAATGGTCTCTCCCCTACAAGAAAAAAGACAGAGAAAATCTCATTCCTTCCTTTTGTTTTCTAAGTATAATCTTCCTATTAACACTACATCTCTGCTCCTATTCAGAACCATCATGCATATTTGAGCTACATTTTTTAGCATTATGCACATTAATTTTGACCTAATACATCACAAAGAGTTATTTTTTAATAATCTCCAGTGAGAGCAAAGCATGTCAGGCTCCTATAAACTGTTTGACATACTAGAATAGCAAATAATAGTGACTGAAGGAGCACTTAAGAAAAGGTTAAGAATGGCTGGGAGAGGAAGGACTCCAAAAAGCAGAATTCTGCAGTAACAAAAAGGGATTTATAACTGAACAATAGGGTTTTTTTTTTTTTTCAAAAGGGGAATTTGAGGGCCACAGAAGGAGAGAGAAAAGACAGGCAAAACTTTAACATAGCTCTGTCCAAACCTGTGAGGGATTTTTACCAATTTTCATAAATAATTACCATGTTGGAAAAGCAGAAAGGGATATTCTAAAAAATCAAGTGACCTGCAAGATAAAATTGGGAATAAATGGGAACCTGCAGCTCCCAGGGTAAGCTTTAAAATGGCATTCAGAAATCACTGTATGAACAATGCAGTTTACAATCCTGACGACTAAAACAACATGGCAAGATTAATCTTACATAAATACATTAACCTTAAGCTAAAGTCCTGATGAAGTGAAACAGACCATTTTATATTAGCACGACATAAAATACGACACCCATGGAAAATCCCAGCAAGTTTCAAGCTGTGCCTCTGGCAGCCTTGGAAATAGCTAAAGAAAGCCCAGCTCTGGTTGACATAATGTATTAAGTGTATCTCTTTTGTTAATAGATTTAGAAAATTCCTAATTAAAGCTGGCCCGAGATTCATGACATTTACCAGTCAAAGTTTGGGGTAAGTCAGAAAGATTTGCAACAAAATTAAAGAAAAAAAAAGCTGCTGTACAGACTGCAGTATATTTGAAATGTAGGAAATAGTAACTGAACAAGAGATGTGATAAAACTTCCTTAGTTGGATGCTGAATTTCCTGCAGTAAACTAAGAAAGATGTTTTACATTTTTGCACGGCTACATCATGCCTGAGAGACAGAGCCACAATTCCAAGAGAAAGCACTATCATTAAAACATCTCGCACTGAACCAGCTAGAGAGACACTGGGGAACATGGGAGAGGATTCTTTGTGCTGGAAGGGAGGGACACATCTTGCCCCAGTTTCTCTGGGTAAGAACTGTAAAAAGGACCCTGGCCTGAGGATGCAATTAGGGGTAATTCTGTAGCACAGCTAAACTGATCAGCACTTGGGGAGGAAGGTTTGCCTAAAGGTCCAGCTGCAATCCACCCACAGATAGAGTGCCACCAGTAGCACAGTCACATGAAAGAGGTTATCATCTTCCCACAAGAGATAAAAGTACAGAGGGGACCAAGGGCTGTGGTGGTGGGTGGGGGAGGCTGACAATTCCCTTCCAAACAGGCCAAGTTAGAAGAATTCTCCTAATTACAGGTTTAAAGAAGACGACCACTCTTAAGGGCCAAATTTTCCTATACTGAGAGAAAATTTCAGCCTTCAGCAAATGTGAATGTAAAATGGGAGTGTACAATTTCCATCTTAAGAGAAATAGCAAAAAAGTACATGAGCAGAGATCACACAAAATGTTATTTCTTCATGGTGGGGAAGGAGACTTCAAACTTTTGTAGGCAAACGCAGTCACTCTAGATTGGAGAGAGGGAGGCACTGTCAGACCCTGTAAGCACTACAGTGTTTAGGGCACCTCAGTGCTTTTCAATTAGCTTCAGAGAACCATTTGACGACGTGCCCGCAAAAATATTCGAACACAACTGCCTGCTCACCTGCATTTGCACATGCAAATTCGGTAGATGGCGGTCCACTAATTGATTTATCTGCTAAAAATTGGGAACTGTACAATTATGCAAATATGTTTTTGCAAGCAGAATATTAAAAGCTGCTGCTAAAAATTTGGCCCTTACAGTGTGCACTGCCCCAGCTGGTGTGTAGTACACTTGGCTTTTTTTAACATATGGGGATAGAACTATTTCTTCCAAAGGAGAAACTTTGCCATTTAAAATGGTGGGTTCTTCTCTCTCTAGTGGAAAAATAACTCCTTCTAAGAAAAGGAGAAGGATGTCTTAGATAGACAAAGCATAAAGCTACCAAATCAAAACTGGTTTGCACACGAAATCTCCCTTATGAGGACTTTCACATGTTCCGCTACAAGATGATGGCACCTTGCAGGTTTTTGTACCTATATTGGGAAAAGTCAGTGTTAAATTACTGAAAAATATTGCAATACAGTGACAACTTTCAGCTTGGAAAAGGTTGCCTCTTTCAGTTTGCAGATAAGTGGGAAAAAGTTGGGACAAGAGCTGCATTCACAGAAGTCATCTGTGATGTTTGTGAGCTAAAGGACATACAGTATATGCATAATACTCATATTCAAGTGCAGCAACCTACATGATTCCTGGATTATTTGCATTATAATCCACATCCATGAATGAGACAAATTAGGTTGCCATTTATTTGTTCATTATCTATTATTTTGATTAATGGAATTCTTGTTCCTAACATAACTATTTAAAAATAACATTTGCAATAATGTGAAATGAACTATTAATCATGATCTTTAAAAAAAACTCAGTAAGGAACTGGGACATGACATTTCATATGTGAGCAAAATGTTATAAACAGGACTTTTAGTTGCCATTATTAAAATCCGAAATGTATAAAATAAAGAAGTCAATAATATTAATAATATTTTTGATATGAACAATTTTTGTCCTGAGTGCTCTAGGATAGGTAAGGTAGTATAGCAAGAAAGATAAAAACACACTAAAGAAAACAGCAATCCCCACCCCCCAAAAATAACCCCCAAACTCTAATAACATAATGCTGCATTTCCCCCTTAGTCCTAACAATCCATTCATCCCCCAAAAGTTTGATTATATGCATTTATGGAGGATAGATACTGAACATTACAGGAAACATTTTATACAGCTATGCTGAAGATAATGAAGGTCTGAGGCCATGTCTTCTTACTGAGGTTGCATGGCCTTCCATTGTAAAACCAATTTTAATAATGTATTTTAAATTAAAAGGATTTCAAGAGCTGTGCTAGCTATATACACTGCATTTGCAAAGTATGATAGCCAGTGGGTTCTAGCACCATAGGAGTAGCAGGACAGAGAGATTTCCAATGACAAATATTTTTCTGGTCAGCAGCTTTTAAAAACTGTTTTTTACTTGTTTGTTTCAGTTGTACAAATCAGCATACTTGAGCAGAGGACTTAATGCCTATGCTTAAAGTATTGTAAAGATGCTTTAAATTACACGTATCATCCCAATTAGATGAGGAGTCATAATCTTGTCATCCACCTTGCAAATCACATCTCCTGAGAGCAACTACTCGTCCTTTACAATTTTCTAGAGTATTTTGTTTAAACAAAATATTTGAGCATAGAACTAAGGATGGTCTGTGAAACCTACAGGGTAGACAATCATGTGTTGTTTTTAAAAATGAAACAGGAAGGGTTAAATGAACAATATCTGTGCCAGAAATTGCTATCAATACTGATGCCATTTTTAAGGCAAACTATGGATGTTCCTGTGTCATAGAATTCATTGAGACTTTGGCCTTTGAGTACAATGCCACAGGATCCAGTTTTACCTGTGAAATCCATCGCTCAACACTTTATGAAACACATTGCCTTTAAAGTCATGGTGGTACACAAGTCTATCTATTCAGACAGTCACAGTGATTGTTGCAAGAGGGAACTGGCTTCATTTTGCACCCATCATGAGTGTGCTCCCAGAATTCATGCTTATTGAATCATGTCTTTGGAATGCTATTTAGTGTATTCCAAATGTGATACATATTCATTGTGGAATATGCAATCTTAATTATGAATATATTCAGATATTTAGCATCTATAAGAATATTCAACGTTTAATATGGCAGCATTTCAAGCAAATCTGCATGAGTTTGCACTGCCTGTATTGACTCAGGTTACGTAGTGTGTATTCTTTGTCCTTCGTAAAAGATTAGGAACTATACTAGGGTACTTAGAAAATGTATTTGGTGAAAATGTCAATTTGTTTTTAGACGGTGGTCATGCAAAAGCAGATAGAAGCAGGAAAAAATATTATGACTCAGGCACCCACCTAATTATTTCCTATATTTCATTTGGTTATATTTCTTCATTGATGGTGATACAAGAAACCCTTATAAAGTTATAGGCTAGGGCCAAACTTGTCAAACTTGGGTGCCTATAGTCTTTATAAAGGATCCTAAGTAAGCAGCCCAATTTTCAGAGGTGGTCACCAGCTGCAGCTCCCAATAAACTGGTTGCTCACCACCTTAAATTAGGTGCCCAAATATGGATTCAGGTGCCTAATTTTAGACAACCAATTTTAGATTCATGATAGTGCTGGCTTTAAATTATTCTACAAGAAAGTCTCCAAATAATAGTAACACTATTGTAAACTGCTATATTTGGGACTGCAGAACCTGCTCTCTCTCTCTTATAAGGGGAAGTTATTCATAAGTTTCATTGTTTGAATACAGAAGGGTCAGGGGAACTGTGGTATACAGTCTTACACCAAAATTAATTTTTTTCACTTTAAATAATGCTCAAGGGAAGATTTCTTACCTGTGAGGAGGCAACATTATATGAAATGAATTCTCTTAATGTGAAAAACCTTTATTCTAAAGCTATTGCAAGTGATGGCTACTAGTTTTTGCTGGGAGCAAGAGTATGGCACTGCTGAAAGTTGAATTGACTCTACACTGTAAACTCTCTAAGAATAGCTCCATCTCCAATTAAAAAAAAACAGTGGAGTGACAATATTTTAATTGGGAAATAATTGTCTTGCCAGAGTGCTGGAGTCATTGTTCTCAATACATTCTATGCTTCTAAAAGCTCCCAGCGTTACAGGTTGAAATTAAATTATACTCTCTAAAACCTTGGGGATTTACAGGTGAAATGTGTGTGTGTGGGGGGGTAATAAAGTCATTGTTTATTCTGAGGACACGGACAATAGACGACAGAACATTTTCATTTTAATTGACAAAGACTAACAAACTGAAACAAAGGCTGAAATTAAAGAATAATTGTGACAAAGAAGAGGAAGAGAACTATCTATGGCTGATGGTGAACATACTGGAACCTCTGTGGAAGAGAGACTGAATGGCAATAGACTGAGAAATTGGTGCAGCTCACCTCTGCCCAATCCTGTGGAAGTTGTTGCATAGAGAAATGTTGTAGCTCAATCTGCTACAACCAAGATAGACCAACACTGACTAAGACTACAACAGCGAACTAAGTTTGCCATGGAAGAAATTAATCAATAAATTGCAGCACAGCATGAGTTTGCAAAGATAAGTAAGCTGTTACCACAGCTGTTACTCCTAGAAATGACCTTTTTACAATTTGTCTGTGTTTTAAAATAGACTTCCAATTGCAATCTTATTTTTTCTTTCAAAAAGCATTGCCTTCAAAATCTTTGATCTATGCCTGGGACAAGTCAGAAAAGGTAAAGAGACGAAAGAGATCCAAGAGCACACACATTTTAAAAGATGCTTAGGTTTGCTAAATGTATGTTAATAAATTTATGAGAGCTCACCGAAGACCCCCATTGAGCCACACAGTGTTTCACCGTCTGTCAAATACTTTTATCAAGGAGTCATGCCTTTCTACCAATTTAATGGATCATCAATGTAAGCAGAACAATTTTGGACTGAATTCATCTGCAATCTCAATATGTAATTCTCTAATTATGGCATACCCTTGCAGTTATTACGTTCCCTTCCCCCTGCCCCTCTCACCAAAAATAAGCATCTTCTTTGTGGAACAGGAGTTGCATTTCAATTTTAAAAGGTCAGTGATTCCTGATTCAATTCAAAGCCCTACGATGTATGAATCTTATTACAATCACTGAGATTTTTTTTAATCATTAAGGCATACGTTCATTAAATTACTAAAATAGGATTTGTGAGGGGAAGATACTTTACAGTCATGAGGATAAAAATAAATTCAAGGGCATACATGGATTCGTGTTTGTGTTTCTAGTGATGGGTCTTGTTATATTTGATAAAACCCTTTCATAGAGACGTTAAACAACGTTGCTTCTTATTTTTCTGAAGTTTCTCATATGAATTTATTTTTGATAAAAGGTGGCGTGTTGACAGCCCTGGAGAAGGAAGTCCTGCGTTTATCCCCAGAACAGGAACAGCATGGGTAGCAGCAATTCAGCCCACCTCACAATAACCTGAAGAGACCTCTTCTAAAGGGGACAGGGCTCAGTCTCCATGACTCATTCGATCCTTGGTGCCTCTGCTGAGATTACCAACAAAGATACCAATTAGGATCAACTATGGTGATGGTTGAAGTGATATGAAAACTGAAAAATGGGCGGAGAGCACCAAACCCATTTCACACAGGGCAATAAGTGGTCATCAGATAATAGCAGCTTTGAGTCGCTACTGACCTGGGGTTGGTTTAGCACTAAAAGAAAGGTTTTGTATAGAGATGGCCTTGGCTATCCCAGTGGACTGATGGTGGCACAACACATTGCTGTGACGGTGAGTGGGCTTCCAGACTAACCTCCAGCCTTTTTACCTCATAGGCCAACACAATGGAGGAGACTATTAAGAGTCCGCATGAAGTCCATATGAACTGCATGAAGCTGTGGTTTCCGATATGACTTCTTGTGGGGATGGTTTTGGATCATTGAGTCTAATGACACTTTGAATTAGGTCCTTAAATTTAATAAAGGTCTACATTCAGAGCTGGTATGGAATTGCACCCATTTACCCCAAAGCTAAATTTGGCCCACACTGTTTTCAGGGGCTTGGCGGGAAGGGAAGGACTAGAATATTGTGGCAATAAAAAAGAAAACTGAAAATAGGGAGAAAAACGGTAAAAAGCCATCATTCAAGATAGAAATTTGAGTGAGAACTGCTTATAAGAAGATGAAGCCCACAGCCCACTTGCCAAGGCTGAAGAAGGCCGTGGGTAGATTAAGTGGTTTGTTTTATTTTAATACATAAAAAGCCCAATTCAGAGAACTGAAAAGTGTTTGTCAAGACAGGAAACACTGTACATTAGAAACAGGAAAGCACACCACCACACAGAGTCCACAGAAACTGAAAGGTAAAAGCCTTTCAAAGATATCAGCTACAGGATATCACGATAGGAATACTCTTCAGAAAAACACAGACCAAGTGTTACTTGTGTTGTTGCAGTGGGTAACTTTTTAGGTGTAAAAGCAAATCTCTCTCTCTAGCGATTCTTAAAATATGATCTTACACTTATATACCATTTTGTGCATTATACAATTACCCTTCCCACCCACCCCCAATACACTGTTAACATCTTTATCTACGCGTTAACTATCTGACCCACAATTAACTGTCTTCTATATGTAACAGTCTTTGGTAAAATGCTAAAAAAGTTTAGGATCTAAAAATCAAAGCAACGCTGTTATTATTTACATATTTGTTATAAAACAGTCAGTGCTTTACTGATGAGTATCACTGTGCAACTTTTCCCCAGCTACTACATTAAAAACCAAACACCCAATTAATTGTAAAACATACTTGTTTTGGGGCATCTGCGGAGGTGGTGTGAACTTCAGTACCTCGGAGTCCATTAGACTCAAATACCACTGTGGGAACAAGGGGGCTTGTTAACAGATGAACATTCAAGCTTCGTTAGTGTGTGTACATTATTTGAGACCATTACAGATTAACCACATTCAAAAAAAGACACCAGCTACTAGCCTGTGGCCGGAAAATACCAATTTACCGTAACACTTACTGTGAGAGAGTGTGCTAATGGCAGCCTAGGGGCACTGCCCTTTTTAATTCAGACTTCGGTGCTGAAGAAAGCAATCACTGACAACATTAATTATCAGTGTATGTGTAGAGGGACCCTCTTCTTGCATTACTTACCATTTGGCCTCTGTCATTTTGCATCAGACTGGCTTATGTATGCATCATTCACACTTCTCAAAGAGAACTCGCTAGTCTCACTGTCTCATGTAATGCTTATGAGGTATCTTGACACTGGTAGCTTTAGCTGGCTATGTTCTCAATAGTAGATCATTCTAGGGTAAAAATGCTGACAGGGATTTTAGAGTTTATAACTGACCAGTCTGGGGAGGATCTGTTTTCATACAAAACTGTTCCAGTCAATAGCAATGATGAAAGAAAACAAAGCCTTATGTTCTGCTGAAAGGGGCTACTCTGATTTCAATTTGTGCTGGTGGCAAAAGAATTCATTAGCATATTCATTTCTGAGTATCCTACTCTCTAATTAAAATAAAGCATTTGCAAACAGGCTTATCTCAAATGCATTGCAATTTTATGGCGTGGGGGGGGGGGTGTTAAGGTATGGAACACGTAGAAAACAAGAGCAATACCAATCAAAACCAAAACCTAGGGTACTGCATATTGGAAAATATTTAAATTATTTAGGTTAGTACGGGAGGTAAAACTAAATTCAACATTCTGTTAGTTGGGTTAAAAAATAAAACAAAACAAAACAAAACAAAAAATTGGTGAGAAAAGATACCTGTGTGGGACCTCATATGAGTCCGGAAGTGACTGTGCTGGTTAAAGCATTTTCCACATTCTATGCAGACATAGTCTCCTTGGCGTGTTTGTGTCCTAAGCATCCCTGTGGTAGATAGGAGGGAGAAGAAAGGGAGGGGGAGCGGAAAGTTGAGAAGAAAACATTATGCCAGAAGAAAACATCATTAGTATGTCTAATGTGTCATTATGTGAGGCTACCTTCAGGCCCTGGATGACAACTGTCAGCCTTCATCTAGGCACTGGCTGACAGGCCAGGCACACACAGGACTGCAAGAATGCATAAATTACATTGAATTAAAAAATGCTCCCCATGATGTGCCCGCACCAGGACTGGCATGTCAGGTGTGCGCTTTTCAGAGCAGCTGGATCCACTTTTCAGCCATCACCCAGCTTTGTCAAGCAGTACATCAGGCAAATCAAAGTGACTCCAGCGTGGCGGAGACAAGTCACATGGATAATAGGAAGTGAGCAGAACCAGAGCCCGAATGTCCCCCCCGGGCTGCAATACCTTGGAGACAAATACAGAGTGAGTGGAGCCATCACAAACGGATCAAACCTTTAGCCCCTGCTTACCTGCCTGCCGGTGCTGCTTTGACCTCAGACCTCTGAGGCACAGACGAAAGACATCTGTGAATGAAAGTGTCATTCCGGACATTTTGAGCTAGTAGCAACACAGCAGCCTTCTACCAGCCCTTGGTAAACATGTTTTCTAGGCCATTAGCATTTGTGGAAAACTACTCAAACCTCTCCTTTTTTTCCAAAGGTCAGTTTACAGTATCTGACTTAAAGGGCTGGTCTTTGTCTTTTTGCTGCTGATCAAAAAAGACACATTTGACTTTTATTGGGCACTTCTTTAAAATGTTTGAACATCTTTTCTATTTTGGTAAGAAGCCCTCCTCAAAAGGAAAGAATTGATGTTTAATTTACCATTGGAATGCCTTGGCTTTTAAAGCAAATTCTCAAGGGTTTGTCAGTGACGGTTCAGCTCTTTTTTTTTTTTTTTTAATTGACCAATGCACAGAAAAAAAAGTAAAAATTCTAACAAAAAAGTGACAATTGTTTTAAAAAGCTAAATTACACTTTAAAATCAATTATAGCAAGAAACGGTGATATGTCCAAAATGTATATGGTTAGTGTGATGCCCACAAAAAAAAGGGCAAAGAAGATTAGGGACCACGCTGTCATTCACTCTTTGTACAGCCTGGTTGAAGCCTCCAGTTTTACCATGTAAATGATAAATAATAATAATTGGCTCATTATAAAATTAGTTCAAAAGACCTTCTGTACAAGTATTTTCTCTCTCTTCATTACAGCACCCCCGAATATGTTCCTTTCCAACACATTGCTTCTAGGGAGAGAATGCAGAACCACACTGGTTTAGCAAAGCCTAATCCTGATCACCATTACTCACATGAAACTCCCAGAGAATCAGTAGTGGAAGTTCTGTGCGAGTAAAGATGAGCAGCATTAAGTTTTACGATTAGGATTAGGCAAAACTCCCACTGATTCCCTGGGAGTTTCATTTCAATAAAGTGAACAGGACTTTCCCCATGATCTATGAAAGATTAAAGCAGATTTTCTAGCAGCGGTCTAGCAGATTTTCTAGTTTCTGGCTAACAGACTATAAAAACCCTATTAGCATCTATCCCCAACCAGACAGAAGTAACTATGGCTGCAATCCGGAGACCAAAGCTAAAAGCAGTGCTTTAAGGGACCCTGATATGTTTTCCCATGAAATCAGTGCTGTTATCTCTAAACCATTCATTTTGGGACTAAGTCAAAATACATCTCATATAGAGGAAGGACAATCTCATGGTTAAGGCACTGGACTGGGACTCAGAAGGCTTGGTTCAATTCCCAGTTTGGCCACTGACTTCTTATGTGGCTTTAGGGAGATGTTAAATTTCTCAGTGTCCCAATGTTCCACCAGTAAAAAGGAGATAACTATACATCTTTTCTCCCAGCCTTTGCGTGTCTCCTCTAGTCAGACTGTAGGCTCTCTGGGGCAGGAATTGGCTCTTCTGATGCCTAGGACAATAGGCCCCTGATCTTGGTCGGGGTCTCTCTAAGTGTTATTGTAGAATAACCAACAACAACTACAGTCACAGCAAGAAAGAACAATTTAGGTTTATTTTCTCATCAATCCACGCATGCCACTCATGTTAAAGTCAATGGGAGTCACTCATTAGGGTATGATACAGATGATCCTAATGGTCCTGTCCAGCCTTACAGTCTATTATCCTGGCCACTTCAGAAACTAAGGCCTGATCCAAAGCCTTCTGAAAACAATGGAAAGACTCACGCTGATGTCAATGGGTTTTAATGCAGGACCTGAAGTTCTTTTGGCTAACCATTCTGGGCCCAATCTTAGGAGTCATGACTGAGTAAAAAGTCCCATTTCAATCAATCTATCGAGGAAATCAGGAATTTTGCCAGAGTAAGGACTGCAGGGTCAGATCTTCTATATTGTGCACTCACCATAGCTAGTGACAACATTTATTTTGGGTTCAATATTTCTTGCCACATCTTTGCTCCATACCTCTGCCTTAAAGTTTTAGCCAACTTCAGCACCAGAACAGCTAGGTTTTTTGTTTTGTTTTTTTAAACATGTCTAGCTGCATACAAATAATATTTAGCTAACCAGCTGTGGAAACCAGCCCAGAAATTTTTACATTTTAGTAAGGGGGGAAACATATCAGTTCACCTCATAATGAAGATCATATGTGAAAACATTTTAAATAATGGCTAACTGCTGTGTGCTAAGATTCTAGAGCTTAAAATGCTTTAAGCACAAATAGTGATTTGCCTATTGAACATGACACTTCTAGAAGAGAGGGTCCATTGCAGTATTTTTTCTTACACAGTGTGAACTCTGCCAGCTAGCTTACTGTACATGAATACGTAACCTAAAAATTCATTTAGCATCTCTACCCCTTCTGATTTGCTTTCTGGCTATTATTTAAAAAAACAAAACAAAACAAAAACAGATGGAAGAACCAGATTACTTCCACATATTTTTGTCATTGTTTGATTTCTTTAAGAGAGATATCATAAGCTTTTGGTATTTTAAGGCTTTGTCTTGATGGACACCATTGTCACAACATACTACCTCTGTGAGATCATCTCTCAGGATAAACTATACTTGAATAAGAGGGGGACAGATGACCACAGGTGTTTGGATGCAAATAAAAGTGACTATTTTCATGGGAGCTCCTGTGAAACCAGCACACAGAGCTGGTCTCACGGGAATCCCAGGGGAAAGGGTGCACCTGCTGCTGTAATATGTCCTCCCTAGTACCATGACAGTTGTAAATAACCCTATGAATAAAAAAGAAAAATCACCTCTACCAAACTTAAATAAAAAACAAAACCCTCACTAAGCAGTAATCAAACTATCTAGTCCTTGATGTAAAAGCCCTGATGTCTAATACTAGTACCACAGGAGTACTTTCAACTCTTATCTCCAAAGAATTGAAGAAACACCAGACTACTAGCAGAAAACAGAACTGTGCACCAGTCTCATGTGAGCAGATACAGCCAATTTAAAATATAAAAGTAAAGGCTACAAACATGATCCAGCTACAAACATGCTCCAACACACACCAAAATGCCTGAAATGGAATATTCTATTGTGATCAAGGCTGATCTATTGCATGAGGTACTGTACTAAATATCCAGAATTAAGAGGCTTAGGAACAACCTATGTAATTGGCAGAACATCCCTAAATTCTTCATAATGGCAACACAATCTCTCTTGGCAAATTGAAGCCTTGTTTGTGTAATGCATAATAAAGACTCACTGGGATAATTCTGTCCTTGGTTGGGACTGACTGCATGTAATTGAGGGAAGAGTTGAGTTGGGCTTTGCTACGTCATTCTAACAGGTGGAATCCTGTCTCTTTCATGTGCAGCAGTTTTACCTTTAGTCCTCTGAAAAATATACAGTGCCATGCCAATTCACTGGTAGTGGCACCAGTGACCTGCAAATTCTATATGGAATGAGCTTAAGAAAGCTGTTCAAAGGCCACATATAAGAAAACCAGGCCACAAAATTCTAAAACTTGGCTATTACAAACAGTTCTAGGTTAAGGAAGAGATGTCAAAGGCACAAATGGGAGCTAGGCAACCAACTCTCATTGAAAGTCAAAGTGCACCTAACTTCCATATGTGCCTTTGAAAATCTCCCCCTAAAGCAGTATTTACACAGTAAAATTCTACTTCAAAAAAAGTAGATCAGCAAGTAAATCGTTCCTATAGAATTCCTCCTCTGCCTGGCTCTACCCCAATATTTTTTGTGCATCTTCTGGTTTCTGCATGGTGCTCCTCCTGTTCCTCTCCATCTTGGCTAGCATAGTTGGGAGGGAGCTCATTGTGTCAATCAGATCTATTCCAGGCAGGCTTACATGACTTGATGTTAAATAATGTCACCAGGAGGTAAGGTACCCAAAGTTGCTAACATTGGCAGAGCTGAACTAGCATTAGCAGCGGTGGAAATTTTTTAGAAAATGTCCCTATGAGCAGAGAGGGCCAAATGAAAAACAGCCTGTAGTTAACCAACAAATTGAGCACAGATGACACACAAACAAGCTACTGCGACAATGTGTTCCTGGAAACGGGGAATGTCCCTGTTCCCCTCCTGCTTTACAAGAGCAGGTGCTTAGTGCCAACTTTTGTAAATCTTTTTACACTCTGGGGCCAACTGAAGGAAAGATCAACCAGTCAAGAAGAACACCACCACCACCCAGCTCTTATCTAGCACTTTTCATACATAGATCTCAAAGTGTTTTATGAAGAGAGATAGTACTAGTAAGCAAAACAGACAACAGGCTGGTCAAGATGTGCATGTCTAGGGCCATTTCTTGAGCAGACTCATGTTGCCATCCTGCCTCCCAAAAAACCTCCCAGCAAGCCTGTAACCCAGCAGTATGGGTCTTCTTTCCCTAGCCACACCATGACTGCTAAAATCATCATGCACACACCTTCCAGGCATTTCACCAAAACTGTCTCTATGCTGTCCTCTTCCCTAGCTACAACTGTCTGGGTTTTACGTTTTTAAAATCTAGCAACTCTACCTTGACAAAACAGAAAGCATTACACTCCCCAGCTCCTTTCAGCTCTGTGAGTGAAAATCTTGAGCTCCTATAGTAAAGATCTGACAAAAGGGGTTCTGTGTGAGTTAAATTCATTATAGAAAGATTCATGTTGCACAGATCCTACTGAAAGAAAAGTGAAAAAAACAATCTTAAAATTTATAAAAACGGTTGCTCCCAGGGGTTTTTTCCCCCCCTAAGAGTAAATCTTCAGTTTCCACAGACGCAAAATCTGGCAGGAAGTCAGAGAGAGACGGTGGTGATTAGTTTCAAAACCAAAAAGGTGGTTTTTTTGGAGGGGTGGGGAAGGGTAGAGACAGATGGAAGAAAATTCACGGTACTTTTTTGAATGCTGCTTGTAAAACTACGTTAAAACAAATTAGCCTCTGAACTTTAAATTGGCTATTTATACATATGCTTTTCCTGTCAAAGTAAATTGACAGATACATTTTTGTAAAATTAGACACATACAAACAGCCCAAGATAGTAATATTTTCCAAGTGACTGTCTACTTTTGAAAGATATGGACAACGAAGAGCTTAGGATTCTTTGTTTAGAAAGATGTGTAAGTATGTCTGTCTGTTCCTGGAAAAACTATGTGTAGAGGAAACTGAACAAGATAGCCAAAATAGCATCAGGAATTAAGCCCTAGAGAATGTTTATTTTGCCCAAAGTGAAAAAGTTATGATCTGTGCCAGGACCAGCGGATCACTAGGATCTTAGTGTGACAGAACATCTGTGTAACTCTAGCCTACTTGAAACAGCAGGACAAAGGACTAGTAACACTCTACGAGGAAACAAATACATTTGACCTGTGATAGAAATGTCACACAGTGTGTGGGAGGGGAATCTACCATACAACTGTACCTGAGGAAATCTACTCAAACCCATTCAACATTGCTAATATTCTGAGTAACAGAGTTCTTATCAACTATGTCTACATGTACACTACGAGCGAGGGGTGTGATTCCCAACTTGTGTACACATTCTCGTGATAGCTCTCACTGAGCTAGCACAAGTATAAACAGTAGTGCAGCTGCAGTGCAGTGGCAGCACCATGCTAGCTACTCCAGTACATGAACCACCAGGGCATGTAATCAGGCCCGCTAGCATGTGCCACCACTGCCACTGCCTGTGCTACAGCAGCTACACTACTATTTTTAACATGCTTGCTCAGATGAGAGCTAGCATCACAACCCTAAGCTCATAGCGTAGATGTAGCCTGAAGGACAAGTAGAAGGACAAAATGGGAAAACAATATAATTAACCAAAACAAAAAGCATGTAGAAGCCTTACCTGCATGATCCAGCACAGGGCTATTGGCACCCCAGGTTTGGTACAACGAAGCAAGGTCCTTTGGAATGTAGGTCTTAAAAAAAATGTCCAAACGTTTCTCGTGCCCCTCTGATGCTGGTTCTTGTTTGATGGAGTGTAAAGCTGGAGAAGCTCCTGCTGTGCTAGGCTGAGGCTGCATTAGTGGACTCGCTCTTGTTCCTGTTGTGCAGTTTGCCAATGTCCTCATCTCATTCCCAGCCTTGGTGTGAGATTCCCATTGAGGCACTGACGGATCTTCATGTTTAGTGTACTGCTCAGTTTTACACAGAGGGTGATACTGAGGCGGTGGGTTGAATTTGGCTTTTATTGGGTCAGATGCACAGTGCTTACTTGAAGGGTGAAAACCAGCACTTCCTTGGGGAATCATATACTTCTCTACCTGTTTACTGTTGGCAGGCTGTGAGGTGGGCCTTGATACGACTGTCTGGGTGGGTGTTAGGCTTCTGCTAAAGCTTCCCCCTTGCATCAGTTTGGAGTTTACTTCATATTTAGCTTTAAGCTGAGGCTTTTGTGCTGCTATGCTGTGCTGCTCCTGGGTATGGTTTGATTTGGGCTGCCTGTACCCATCAAGACCTGATGACCATGAACCGCAGTGGCCAAACGAATGGCTGTCCTTAGACTGATGCATACTACCAGGCTTTGTAGTCATCCCAACAGGGGAAGAATTGCTTTTGGATCCTGGCAACGCACTTGGAACTTGAGTGCGTGTAAACCTGGCAACAGGCAAAGGTGGGCATTCTTTACCACCAAGGGATGGAGGAGGACCAGTGCGTCCACTTCTTGCCAGAAAAACCAAGTTGTTTTTTATACTCTTGAATCCATTTTGTTGAATCCATGGTGGAGCCATCGAGTTACAGCTGACTTTGTGCCAAATTTTTTTGTGCATCCACAGGACTTCAGGGTAATAGGTCTTATGATTGCAGTAAGGACATGGGTGGACAATCAAATCAGCCTGCAAAGATGAGGTAAAACCCTTATTGCATGAATCAGCCCTCGTTGATTTTTCACTTAAATCTAGTGGAACCATTTCTTGTGCCTCTCTCCCTTTTTCGAGAACAGGGTGCTCCCTGCACAAGTCTGAGAAATTTTCTTTAGGGTGACTAGCCTGCTTTTCCAATGAGGTTTTCAAGTCTACTACCACATCTAAAGATGTCTGGCCCACTCCTGAAGCAAAGTCAGCAGTACTACTGGAGCAAGGAAGCTCTTGTATAGGTTGAAATGCTGGCATCTTTAAGTCTGAAGAATTTCTCTGAGCTTCATACTTTGGAAAAGGCCGTTTGATATTGTTTTCCAGGGTAGATACCAAAGTTGATAACTCTGGTTTAGATTCATTGGCATCTTTTTCTCTGGCATTGTCACTTCCAAATTTAGGAAGCTCTTCTACCTGAGATGTTACCATTGCCCCCTCTTCAGAAAAACTGCAGTGGTATGGCTTTTTACCTGAACAGGACAATCAAAAAACAAAATTAGCAACTTATGTCAAAACCAAGAAATCAAATTCAAGATTAAAATAAGATACACAGACACAGAGAGACGGGGGGGAGGGAGGGAAGCAAACTTGAGGCAGTTATTCTGTTATTAAGTGTTCTATAAACTAAATGTATTATAAAACCAAGAAAATCATTGTAATAAGACACAATAGCTCAATTTACTTTGAAAGCATCACTCTGAAGTTTGGATAAACTATCTAATGGTGCATGTTCATGACATTTTAAAAGGAAGAACAATTTGATAATCCAAACTTGTTAAAATTCAGAGAGTGAGAGAAAGATAAACAAATATGCAGCCATTTAATGCTTTAACAAAAATAAAGATAATGGACCCAGATAAGACTGAACTAGTTAAAGGTCTGTCACTGTTTCCATTACAAGCCTCTATTTTCAAAGGGTTTATAACTCAGCCATAAAAATCGGCTCCACACTGAAACCTAGCATATAAAGGTCTTATATAAGTACTGCAGCACATATGGCATATACCATAAATCCTTCTCTTAACAGAGACCTTTGCAATACCCAGGTATAATAGGATGAGGTAAAGACAGCCTACATTCTGAATTTCCTGGGTTTTGTCAGTTTAAAAGAAAATGCAACTTTATTTTAACATAGTTTTATGTTTGTGTTGAATTTTAGGTATGCTTGTGGCTGCTGAATTTGCTGATCGGTATGGATGCCTAAAATACCTAACTAAAACAGGATTTTCAATTTTCTGTTTTCTCTTTCCTTTTTTCCATTCTTCCTCCCATCCTCAGACATGCAACGAAAGTAATATTTTATCTAAGATATAGTTCAGAAATGGAACATAGTTGGTAGATTTTATAGAAGTTCAGGGGAAAAACAGCATGATTAGATTACTTAGAATGTTCCTAAACTCCAATAGTTCTCAAAATGCTTATCTTTAAGAGCTACTGATAAAGTCTTTGAATCCCTCCAAATCAGTTCACAATCAATTCCACAGAGGTTTTCATCACAGCAGTAATGCTTACTTCACTGAATCCATTTAACATGTAACAGAATTGAGTCATCTGACAAACTTTCAGTTTCAATTAACATGGAGTTAATGAGCCACTGTTAGGCAAGTGTAAGGGGACCATGTTCCATCTAAAATGTCAACAATCCAAAGTGATCACCATAACTGGGGGAGTAGTGAAGATGGGGAATGAGTGAGCTGTTCTATAGTTGTATATCCTCTCACATCAACTCATAAAAGCCAATGTTTTAGAAAATCAAGCACTGTTGTTTAATATAACATTGGCGCCATAGGCATTATTCTAAACTTGCACAATGTAAAAAGTATGTTTTAGGCTGAAGTTTCATTGCAAATAAAGTCTATTTAGCCTCAACTTTAATTCAGGCAAAAAGTCTTAAGCTTTTGTTAATTCAGTGTAATTAGGTTAAAAATAACCCATAGATTTGCAATTTTATAAAGGTTGAATGCTCACTCTGTTAAGATAATTTTTCTTTCAAATTCTCAAAGGGATAAAGTCTGAAAAAAAACTTGTTTTTCCTGTGTTACAGGGAAGGAAGGCCTTCTGAAAGCACATGAACAACACAACCAGCTAAATGTATAATTTGAAACAAAGACACTGCTGCAGGAATGTAATTTGACACTGCACATCTGTGTTATTTTCAAAGCACATCTGTCAAATATTTGTGAACTAGATCTTAGGCTTCCAAATGGTGAAGTCCTTTGACCAACACGCTAAATAATAAATTAAAGTAAATAATAAAACATTGAATTGTAGCGATAAACAATAGAGACTGCACCAGCCTAATGGCCAGGTTGAACGCAACATACAGTAAGTAAGGGGTTCAAGACAGACTGGAACTGTTGCTCAATGGGACTGTGGAGTTGGGAAACACTGGCTGCCACTGAATCTGAAATGGATTAGGATGCTAAATGGACACGTGGGGTAGAAGCCCATTACTACTCCGAAGCTCTGTGCTCGTCTGATACTTCTTGGACTTGATCTCACTTTGGCACAACTTGTACACCTGGGTATGCCAGCAAAGGTTATGGAGTTGAACTAGCATTGGAGTAGTGATATACTCAATGTAGGATTGGACTTGGGAAAGCAGAAGGAGCCTGGGAACAAGGGGAAAAGTTAGCTTTTCCAAACCACCTAACAACAAATGGTACAGATACAGGGATGGGAGCTCTGGTGTAGGCTGTTGATCTTTCTATCCACACTAGAGCAGCTTAGCTACCAGGGAAAGAGGATTGTCTGGGTGAGAAATGCAGCGCAGAATGAAGAAATACATTAAATCATTTATACACTAACTAATGCACAGTTAAGTCAGCACCTCGGGTAGGAAATGTTCTTTGGCATACAGAATGGTACACCAGGAGGTAAAGAGAAGACTCTGAGGGGCTGATCCTCAGCTGCTGTAAAGGGTCATAGCTCCAAAACACCACTGAAGAGCTTCTCCTAAACATTCCAATTATTCATATTTTCACTAAAAGAATCCCACTAACTCACAAGATGTCTCTAAAATCTTGCAAACTAGGTCAGCTCAGCTGGACCCACAGTTCTGTGCTCACCAGCCTTTGAATAGAAGCCCATTCAGAAGAAGGCACTTTGCTTGACATGAAAATTTCAGTACTCCAGGAAGCCACTCTTGCCATCAATCACTGGCAATCAGAGCAGGCCTGCTTATTCGGCATTGTCATGGGAGAGACGATCAGGAAAGTGCACAGGCGAGGAGCAAAAAGACCACAAAAGGCGATACAGAAAAAGAAAAGGTGTGCGTGTGTTTATAAGAGAGAGAACCAGAAAGGAGGAGTCTGATTATTTTTTAAGCCTGAAAATAAAGTATAACTATGAAAAATCCAGGACAAAGCTTATTTTTAGGACCCTAGTAACTGGCATATTGCATCATAGCTGTGGCTCATCTGATCCAGAATCCTTTCTCTGGTATTGACTGGTAAAAGCAGCTTAAGAAGATGATGCAAAAAAATAAAAATTAAAAAAAAAAATAAAACCCATAATGGACGATTACAGAATACACTACCCATTGGTGAAATTTCTTTCTGATTCCAGACAGCTAGTGGTTGGTCTGTGCCTGGAAGCAGGAAGGTTCATATCACTCATCCATTTAAATACTAACTAATAAAACTGTGAATGTTACTATTCATATAACTGTCTAAATCTTTTTAAAATGCTGCTTTGTCTTGGCCTCAATACTATGTTGTAGCAATGAGTTCCAGAGGTTTATTATGCAGAGGTAAAACAAGGCATGCCAGCCCACACTGCTTTATGATGTATGATCCTTTGCAAGATGATTACAAAGCATAGTATTTAACTGGTCTTTGTAGCTTCTTTTTGGATACAATTTAACTGAGATTCAACACTACATAAGGGATATCCTCAATATGCAGGATGGATGGATATGTTAGGCAAAATACCAGCAGCACCTTTAACAGGTTGGCTCAGGAGCATTTCCATAAGCCAAAATCTATGCCATATATAGACAATGTTTTGCCACTATTCACATGCATGTCCAAAAGATACTTCGGGTCAGTGCAAAGCAAAACACAGCTGTGACATTGTTCTAATCCCCAGACTACTTCTCACCGGCTCTTCGGCTACTAATATTCAGATTAAACTGCAACCCTGCAAACACACGTAACCAATCAGAAGTGAGTCATGGCCTATTCTTCCTCTGTACATAGGTATATAGAAGACAGTATTTGATCTAGTAACAGCTGTAAAACAAAAATTTAATATTTTTGCCTGCTCCCCAGCCCCCCTACCCCAACTGAAACAGGGTACTAACTATTTCCTTAAATCACTGGTATAAAATATTGCTTTAGTCAGTGCAACGCAGGCATAACTGTTACAAGAAATGTTTGAGATTTTATTACGGCCTGGTCAAAGCAAAAAGCCATGAATGGGATGCCTTTGGGATGATCCTGAGGGACTATAATTCACATTTGCCATAGAAACATTTCTTGGCATAGCAGTCCTTCATTTTCTTTTTTCCCTCCACCCACCTCTTTCTCATTTTTATCTTAAGTCATTCTTTCTTAGTCAAACAAACTATCTCATCTGCTGTACCTAAAAGGACTTTTTGCACTACAAAGCATCACACTAGTGCTACAGTTTTGTCTGTCATTGTTAGCTGGCCAGCAACCGGAGAGGAAGGATTCTGTATGGAGCAGCTGGTAGGTGGCTGCGGATATTATCTCACGCCCTCAGCTTAGGCACAATTTAAAATATTGATGACATCACAGACCACTGGAGAGTAAAGCAGGAATGCATGAAACACTTTACTTTATGGGAATTCAAGGTCTAGCAATATAAGAACACTCTGGGATTAGAATGGTTCTCCAGGAATATATCATTTATAATTGCCATTGCCTGTGCTCCATTATGCATCCTACACAAGTGGATGGAAAAAACACAAACACACACACCTTATTCCCTCCCCAACTCTGCTCCCTACCAAACCAATATTCAGAACGGGTTGTACATCTGTTTTAACTCACAGGGTTTCTTGTAAAATGAGGAAAAGCCTCCGAAACCAGGCTAAAAATCTGAAGATAATGGAACCACGATCAATATGAAGCACGTGTTTCTAAAGAACTGAACTAGTTAGATAAAGTTGATTGCTTTTTCGGATAGCATTTCAAAATTTGGTGATGAAGAAAAGAGGTAAATGTAATGTATTTAGATTTTAGTAAAGCATCTGATACAGAGTCTCACTTGGATATGAACACTATCACATAATTTGAAATTTGGCTGAAGACAAATGATAATGATAAAAGGCCAAGTATCTAGTTTTGAGAAAGTATCTAGATGTGATACTGTAAAGAGCTGTGTGAGGTCCTATTTCATTCAATATTTTCATTAATGAGCCAGAAGTGACACTAAACAACACGTTAAATTAAAATTTCAGGTTAAATCAATTTTTTTCAATAGATTCTTAGTTTAAAAAGCCAGA